GTATTTTTACAGTCTTTATTTTACAGTTAAAATAAATGTTTATCAAATAAAGTTTAAAGTTACAACTAATCAGGATCCCTGTAAAATGGACAGAAATAGCACAATGAATATTGTTACTATTGTTTTTTGACATGAAACCAATATTTATGATCCACCAACAGTTGGGCTCAGGTCTCTGCTGCTGATACTTTAAGTGTGAACAGTGTGTGAACCACTGGTCTAATAGCTTCAGCAGCAGCAGGTGTTGTGACTTCACTTACTACATATTTCTAAAGTTCGGTACTTTAACTGAACTACAGATATATCAACCGGTCCGTTTGTGTTTTCTTTCCTGCACTAACATCAATAAAACAATCTTAACTTGACATTCTTTGTTTTGATTGTTATATATGTTGTTCCGTATTGTTTGCTGACCATTGTTAATATGTTTTAATAAATGACCTGTGTAACTGTTTAAATCCTGTGAATGGAGGAAGAAAACAGCCACACATCAGTTGGACTGATGAATCAGCCTTAAACATCCTGTATTGTTGGTCTGTACTACAAAGATGTGTAAACATTAATGCTGAGTTGTTATGATGAAGAATCCTGTGTGTGTTTGTTTGAACAGAGGCCAGGTTTAAAAAACTGGAGAAGCGGTGAGGAAGAGGAGGCAGACCGAAGCTTCAGGGAGGAACTGAGAAACACAGAACCTTAAAGCAGCCCACAGAGCCTGGCATGTTGGACTCTCTCACAGCTCTGTGGACCTGTGGACCTGTGGACGTTAGCTGGGCTCTGTCATCATCAGACTAACCCAACCAACCAAATGAAGGTGTTTTAATCCAACAGGTACAGTCTGACTGACGTGTTGAACTCTTCTCCTGTAGAAACAGTAAACAGAATCATCTGAACGTTGAGTTTAAAGTCCAGTCAGCCTGAAATGTACACTTAGATCATGTTTGTTACATACAGTATGTGTGTGTATCCTGAAAGACATTCTACATGAATAAATGATCTGCTCTGTCCATCTGAACACAGTTTTATCTGTAATTAATGCTGTAGCTCTGATGGGATGACTATCACACACTGCCTGTCTTCTTCTACATTTATTCTGCTGAGAATGAGGCAGTGGAGCAGAAACTGTTGTCTGAGCTGCTGCTGCCACAGAAACAACCAGCAGGTGGCAGTGTTGCACCATGGTTGAGCTTTAGACTGGTTTATTTCTTCTCCAGTTGATTAAACGTTGAAGCTGTGGGAACATCTGAGTCACCACTGGGTTAGAGTTCCCTCAGGAAGGCCAGAGTGACACTCAGAGGGGATCATGACAGTTCAAAGGAAAGTGTGTGTGTGTGTGTGTGTGTGTGTGTGTGTGTGTGTGT